CCGACCGCCAAGCATGGATAGCGGCCATCAGAGACATTCATGAAGCCGGCTTATCCTTTCGAAGGAGCCAGCCGTAGTAAAGTAAAGTAAGTAAGTACTATACCCCTACGGGTGGAACACGGGGTAATAACAAAACGTTATATAAACCTCAACCTCGCACATCGTTCCTCGCTTTTAGGGTAATTTCATACTGAAACGCATTGCCAGGAGAGATGGTCTCTTCACCAAGCAAAGCGTCATTCAAGTCTTGACTTGATAAGCACCGAGGACTAATTATCCCCCTCAACCCTCCAAGAATAAAAACAAAACAAAAACAAATGCTGAAACAAGCCTTTCCCGAGATTAATTTCAAGAGAAAAGACCATATGGCAATACTGCACGATTTATGTCCAGGACAATTTCGCTGCATCTCAACATGGTGCATACTGCAGAAAATACAGTGTTCATATAGGGCTTTAGCATGGCAACAAAGTAAAGCAAAATACATTCAAAACAGACAAAACATAAAAGAGGGAGGGGAAAAAGGACCAATATCACCAGGGTAGGGAGAGACTGACATACTTCGTTGCCATGCTAAAGCCCTATATGAACACTGTATTTTCTGCAGTATGCACCATGTTGAGATGCAGCGAGATTGTCCTGGACATAAATCGTGCAGTATTGCCATATGGTCTTTTCTCTTGAAAAACAAATGCGCTTGTTTTGCACCTTTGCTATCACAACTTGTTACTTGTTACTAATACACCCTTTGGACGGTGTCAGACATCCATCCAAGGTACCCAAGACACCTCGATACAGGTGGTGATGGCGCAGTGGGTTAATCGCCGTCACCCGTGTACTTTGCGACCTATGGCCCGAGATTAGAGTCCCGCCACAGACACCTGACTTTGGTGGTAGGCAGCTCTGCTGTCGACCTAACCTATTGGGGCCATATGTAGTTTACCACTCCAAGTTCTAGAACTTGGCCACCAATTGACTGCGATATTCACATACCACTCCGGCTGCCAAAGGCTCCAGTTTTGAATTCCCTAAGAAATTTCACCTACTTTAGACTGGGTAATTTGCAAGCCGTTCTGGATAGTTGGAGCGCTAGTATAGCCATGCTCGGTATGCGTTTCTCACCCTCAAAATTCAAAATGTTGCTACCAGATTGGGTCGGTCCAGTCCCCATCCTCACTGAAACTGGAGAGATAGTAGGGAAAGTAGACGAGTTTTGTTATTTGAGCAGCTATATCTCACCCGGTGGACGCATCACGGATGAAGCATTGGCTCGACTATGGAAGGCTCGCTTGCCAGCTTTGCGACATCCGGCCGTCCGCGGAGGGTTATCTGTATGCTGCAGGATTACGATCAGTGCTGCTATACGGCGCAAAAACTTGGCCATTACGAAAACGAGATAAAGCTAGACTGTCGGCGTTCAAACGCCATTGTTTATGCGGCGTTGCACGAGTTTGATGAGACAACCGGACGAGCAGTGTTGAGGTTAGGTACAGAGTTTTAGGTAACGGCGATCACCCATTAGAACATTTGGTGGACCTCCATGGGTTAAGCTGTTTGGACATGTGCTATGCATGTTGCTAACTTGATTCGCACGGCGCGTGATGTTCACCGAGATAGGTATTGGGTGATAAAAGGCTCAAAATGGTGTAGGTAGATGTTTGTCCGCTTTGATGGCGAAGGTTTTCTTCCACACTCCTTCCCCTAGTCTGGTGTTTAACAAAAATGCTCGATAGAACTAGATAACTTTTGTTTCTTATCAACAACTCATGTTTTGGAGGCAATAACATTTCTATAAAAATTATAAGTCGTCCTTTGAAACTCGTGCGCCCCCCCCCCACACACACACAAACTGCCCACTGGGTAAACACTGCAGTACACTCAGTTTTAACGTCATTTTTTTTATCAGACTATAGCTTCCAGCAAACGTTTAAAATGCTAACGGTTCTGTATTTTTTCTTTTAGCTTTTAGCTTGCATTTAATAATTAAAGCTTTCCACCTGTTGGATCAAATCATTACCCTTCGAAGATCTCAGCCAATTTACCACTGAAATTGTAAAAAATGAATCGTATGGTTGAATTAGAAAACAAACGACGGGAAGTATACGACCTGCGAATCCACTACTCATTGCAGCGGCACAAAGTTAGCGCCTCACTGAAAGACCTGATTGATTATTGTCAGCAAAACACCGCTTCTGATCCGCTTATCAATCGTGTAAAAGACAATCCATTTGTGGAAAAGAAATGGCTGTGCGAGCTGATCTAACGATCCGGATATTTAGCGAATGCAACTGACCGGGAAAGAAGCACACATTCGCGTATGTACAATCAGCAAAAACGCCCCGGCCTTTCCGCTCGTCCTGCTTCCGCTCTGAATCGAGTTGTGTTTTTTTTGATCCTTGCTTTTTCTTTTCTGTTTCTTTTCGTGTTGTTGCATAATAAACTGTTGCAACCCGAAGCGGCAAAAATGCGTTGGCTTCCACACCTATTGATAATGTTTTCACCACGACTTCGACCACCATTATTGCACTGTTACCGAAATTTATGCTGTATGTTGCATTGTTATTGACTGTCTCCACTTTTCTACCGCTTTGGTCCACTCACCAAACAAGTGCCTGTGACATGTTTGCCCCTCCAAACTTGTCTTGCCTTCACTCGTTTTCTCACGCCCCGAATACCGAATCACTCCACTCCGTCACGCGATAGTGTCGCTGTTCCCGCTACTATTGCTCACCGCCCGTTGCATTTTCTGGCTCGTTATCCAGATTAAAAAAGATTATTTGTCTTCGTTTCTTTTTCTGGGTTACTGGTCTGCATTCTTGCTCTCCTTTATCCTTCGGCAAATAGACACATGCCCTTCCTTTATTTTCCATTGATTCAATCTTATTGCATTACCAACCACCGATGTGGCTACATGCGTTTTCTGTTGGTGCTGGGGTTCCCCCCTTTTCCTGGTATGCTACTCGCCAATACCAGGATTGTATCATGTTGCGTTGTACTCCGTGCGATTACAAACTGAGTTTTTGGAGCCTGGTAGAATGAATTGTCGTTGCGAAAACATCTTTTTCTTCGTGCTTATAATGCTGTTGATTTGGAGCGTTCACCATAATCGTATTTTAAAATCAGATACTTTTAGAAAGAGCGAGAAGTTCACGTATTCTTTTAGCATCTCTGAATAGTGCGGTTTAATTCAATCGGTTTGCATTTTGGGACCGGGAAATGAAGGTATTTCAAAATAGGCTCTATCGCTTACAGAAGTTGACTTATGCGACAGAATTAGTATATGATTGACTAGACAATATATTGTGATGAAAATACTCTTCCTGGGTGCAAGTATATGAACGAACTGACAAAAGATTACCGGATACGTATGCCTGGCGAGCGGTAAGAACTGCAAAACCGGTCTTATGCTTCCAGGGAAATTTCGTCTAGTCAATCATATACTAATTATTACAAAGTGTTCTGTGAAGACGCTCGGGTTACGTTTGTTGCGGTTAGTAGCACCTAACCCGCCTACAAAACATGGAATCGTAGTATTGATTGACTCTGAAAGAGCTGTCTATCCAACAATCACCCGGTGTTGTAAACAAGGTTATTGTTGGTTGTTATTGGGTTCTAAGATAAGAAAGACCATGAAAGTCTTCACCAGTCAATACTTTGCGCACATTGCAGCATTTAGGCATATCAGCAGCACGAATATTATCAGTATTATAGGAATTGAAGGGAAGGTTGCTGAGATAAGTAAAAAGAGGTAGGACGTGACTTGTACAACGGAAGCTTGAAGGATTAGTCAACTTTGTCTGCTAATCTAATGCATCGTACGCATCTGAAGAAGTAGTCGGTAAACTATGGAAATAAACTAGAAGGATTAGTGAAAGATCGCCACTTTCCCAATGAAAGCGATCGCACCATGGAGATAAGGAAGAATGTTCGTCAATTATGCACCTAACAGATTTGGTTTACAAAACATTCATTTCAACATTGAAAATAAAATCCTACCGGTGAAACAAGCTGTTTTTCGACAAATTCATCAACTGGCTGCATTTATATAGGTAGAGCACTTAATATTGTTTGATTCTGTGCACGTTGGATCTTGTCACCCTGTGTATAAAGCGATGCTATGTGCGTCAACAAATTGATTGAGCTTCTCCTTGGTTACGACATTCTTCCAGTTACCACGCTCGCTTGACTTGGTTGTGTTATTGTTTACGGATGGACCGTACACCAGACGGTGCCACACCAGACATTCACAGGATGTACAATTACCGAAGTGGTCCGAGGAAGAAGAATTCATGTGCAGTCCGCGTATGATATACAGTGAGTTTCAATAAGTGTTCAGGCAAGTGCATCGAAATGGGATCTTTCGTAGAGAAAGATGAATGTTGTTTGCTTCGGCAATGAAATGACGGTATTGGCTTTCTTAAAGCTGACGATGCAGCAGCCAAACGGTAAGCTGTTTTTTCGAGGTCATATGGCTTTTTTAGTGCATGCTATCATACTTGAGATCTCTTGGTAACGGACGGCGGAATTAACTGATCTATAAGAGGGGGTGGAATAGATCTTCCAGTGAGAAGGAGATTGTTTAGATCAACTTCATTTATTTGCATCCTGTCATGCTTGTTGCATTCTGGAGAATTGGGCAGACATTGTCCAGAATTCATTGACCAAAATCTCACTTCTCACCTAACTCTAGAGCACAAAGTTTTGTTTGATGGACGCATCATTTTCACGTTCCCTAATTTGAAACAGACATTCGAATCATTGGACCACACAGTATTTTAGCGCCACATGCGTTCTTATTATGCGTCTGGGAAGTTTATTTCTCCATCGCGATCAATATATGCGAGCAGTCAAAGCCTAACTCAGTCTCTTTTTCACACGCGTTCACCTCAACTGATCACCAGGGCAGCCCCCTCTTCATTTCGTCTTTGCGAAGAGTGAGTTTATGAAGGGGAGGACAGCGGTGTCTACTTGCTCCCAAGGGGGAGTCAGCAGACGATATATAGTCATTACCGGTAAAGAGAAAGGCTAATCATTGGTTTATCTATTTTCACCATGCCTCTTGTTCCTTCGAAGTGCAGAATGTTACGGAACTGGGAGGCCGGTTTAGTTGGTGAACAATAGAACAAGTAGGCAGGTTATTTTTATCCCGGATAGTCACCTCTCACCTGGCGAACATGTCACAAATGGAGTGTCGGCGCGCGTAAACAAAGCTAGACTTACTTTTAACAAAACGGAAACACCTGTGGTACGACGGCGATATTCGGTTGTCCGTCAAGCGTCGAGTGTACAACAATTCGGCTGGTGCTCCTATATGGTGCTCCTGTATGGCGCTTTTTATGGCAACAGTACAAAGGCATGCTATTGGTCTTTGAGCACCCTTGTATGTCCCGTCTCGCACAACTCTGGCGAGGCTAACAGACCGGCAATACGGTGGTTAAGCCGACAGCTTTGAGAAATTGCGTTTGTTCACTGAAGTCTGTTCTCGACCTCCGTAGATTCCGTCGGTTGAGGTCTGTGTTACGTTGCCATCAAACAAAAATCCGTGGTGTATCACGGTTGCTGGAGCTATCCTCGTGTGAGGATAGGGGTATCACTGCTACCGTACTGCAGACTGTCTGATTTGGTGTATGGTGACGACATATCGCTAAGTGAAGATCCAATTAAGTTGCTTTTCTGAATGGCTTAAGTGTCAGCAAAGCCATGTTCGGTATATCTTCGCACGTTCAAAGTATAAGATATCGCTACGGGACTGGCTGGGCCTAGCCCTCAATGTTGCTCTATCGGAGAAAGTGGACACATTTTTCCATCTGGGCAGCTATATCTCACCCAGTGGATGTATTCCGGATGAAATTTCGGCAAGTTTACGGAATGGTCGAATGGTACTTGCCAACATGAGACAACTGTGGTACCAGCGCAATATTCGACTGTCTGTTAAGGGTCGAGTGTATGCTGCAACAGTTCGGCCAGTGATACTTTACGGTACACCGACTTGGCCATTTAGGGAATAGGATAAAAATAGACTGTCAGTATTCGAACTCCGTTGTCTGTCCCGTATTGCACCAGTCTGGTAGGGAAACTGAGCAAACGATGCTGTGGTTAGCCGCAGAGGTTTAGTTATTCACGCTCGCCCACTGGAGCAAGTGGTCGACCTCCATAGATTACGCTGGTTGAGACGTGTTGAGTATGTCACCAGATAGGTTGCCACGGTTCGAGTTGTCTGTGGGGACAAGCAGTGAATGTTGACAAAATATTGAAGATTGGTTCTCGTAGCTCGGGTGAACTGAATTCTATTTCGTCTGTTCGCCGAGCTTGGCCATTTGTTTTCAAACGTTTCATCATCAGACGAGGTGACATCATCAGTGCTTGTGAAGCACTGATGATGTCACCTCGGCTGGTGATGAAACGTTTGCAAACAAGCAGTGAATGGAAAACTGTTAAGGGCGGTCAAACTAAGACCTGCCATGAATGGGTGAAAGCCCTAACCAGGAGACTCGGTTATATAGGTCGCGTTAGATTCTCGTTCCTGGAACTAGGGATCAGCGCAGTCGATAGATAGAGTGGTGTAAACAGAGGCGCTTATGCATGTATTTAATTTATTTGCAACCTTGTCCCACTATAATTCACCCACCGACACTGTTTCCAGCATCCCAATCTTCCCTCTGCTCCTTCATCTATATGGGCAGCCAAAAGACAGTACCCAAAATGGCCACACGAAGGTACATGGTTAAAATGGTTGTACAAACTGAAATTAAGAGTTCCGTCAAACTGCACTGATTTTTTTATTGATCGATGGGATGGAATTTGGAACCACTATATTTGAGACGAACGTACCGTTAACGGCCTCGCCACCAAATAGGAACGGTCTCTGTTGTACTTACGGAATGCTTCCTAACCAGAACTAGGATTGCAGTGCAGTTTAATTATGATTTAACTATTTCTGATTTTAATGTTTTGTATTTTAGACAAAAATGTAACTTACCTTAGAGAAGAATAGTTGAATCGCGTAAGTTTTAAGATCTGCAAAATCCTGTACTCTGCTGACTGGAATACATATCAAAACGGGGTGTCGTCGAGTTTCCACGTGTGTTTATGCGTGAGAGAACACAGTGGTATTGAGCAGCTTAGTTGTGTTTATGCATATGAATTCACTGATACGACCGGGTCCCTTTACTTCTGACGGATTTTTTTCATTGTGATGTGATGACCAAACTTACCACGTTCTGTTCACTCAATTTGTTTGCCAAGGATCAGCTCGCTCAAGGA